ACCTAATCCCACAAAATCTATATCGTCAACATTCCATTCATTTAAACTATAATATTATAAATCACGTGAGTATATCAATGAAGAAAATAGGATATAAATGATATAGAAAACAAACTTACGTAACACGTGCAAATTCTGTTGCTCTACTTATAACATCGTAAAATTGTTTCTACAAAAGAATAGATAAAACAAATAAATATATTGATAAATAAATAAATAGAAAAAATGCATAATAAAACTTACGATGGTAATACCAATTTCGCATAATTTTTGTTCAAAAAACGCTCCACTACGAGTTCTAAATTGACAAAGTGCCAATAACCCGGCAAGTACCGGAGTAATAGCTCCTGCACCTCGCACATTGCACCAACCACCAAATTCGTCTTGACAACTAATTAACCATTCGAAACATTTAGGAAATGCCAAAGAAAATTCTTCGGCGACAGAAGATTCTTTATATGCTTTATTAGGAATCATTGCCAACCAAGCTGTATCATATGCTGACATTGAAATATCACCATAACCTGTCCATGTCATATCTCCATATTCATCAATAGTGCGTTTTGCTGGTTCTTCAGGAGATTCGAAAAATTCGGAATGAATTTCATCTGCATATTCTTCAAGAAGTCTTTTTGTATAATTTATTATTTTAGAAGTTGAATTGGAAGAAGAGTTTGTGTTAACATTATCTGTGTCCAAACTTTTATGTGAAGAACGAAAATGTGATTTTAATTTTTTAATTTTTAATTTTTGGTGTTTTAATTTATTCTCAAAATAAGAAAATAAACTTTTAATTATTGGTGGGGAATAGGATTTTTCCATTTTTTTTTTTTTAATTTAAGAAAAATTTGTTTGTATCAAAATTAGGGAATTCGACAGTCGATGCTTTTTATATTTCTTGATGGTCTTAAAGTTAAAATCACAAAAATTATGATGAATCACAAAAATTTTGAGTATCACTTTGATGAATCACAAATAAATTTCAATATTCGGGTGAATTTGGATAAATATTTTCCGATTCTTATCACACATTACAAAAAAGACCAAAAGAGATTAGTGATGTTAAATGAATGATTGTAACAATGTTCAAGACATCGGAGTAAACAAAAATGTTTGGATAAAAAAAGAAAAATAATAATAAATATTTATATTTACATTATCCATTCTTTAATTTTAACCAAATCAGGAATTTATGAAATAAATGGATATGCGCCCAAGATTGGGAATATCTACCCCAATCCATGTGCAAGGATCATTTGAAAATTTTTTTTTTTTTTTTTTTTGCATTAATCATTCGCTATTTTTTCGTTTATTTTTGTTTTTATTTTTATTAA